ATGTGGTGTTGGAGAAGATTGACTCATGGGAAATGTGGTGTTGGAGAAGATTGACTCGTGTGAAATGTGGTGTTGGAGAAGATTGACTCATGGGAAATGTGGTGTTGGAGAAGATTGACTCGTGTGAAATGTGGTGTTGGAGAAGATTGACTCATGGGAAATGTGGTGTTGGGGAAGATTGTCCAAGATCTCAATCAGTCCTCGACCAAATAATGGCTACTTGTTCTCTTGAGGTAGTGATGTTTGAAGAGAAACTGACATATTATGAACATGTGATGCAGCCAAACAAAGAAATAGAGAAGACTATCATGTTTGGTCAAGTTAAAGAATCAGAAGGAGTGGAAGACCTCAAACAATTGGATGGATAGGATCAGAGAAGCCACTAGCATGTCTCTACGTCAGCTTCAGGATCTAACTGATGATAGGTCATCTTGAAGAGAGCCAGTCATTGGGTCACCAAGAGTCAAGGATGAATCGATGGCACTTAACTGTGTTTTTATGTGCGAGTTGTTAATCTTATATACATATAACAAATAACCAGACCACAAGACAACTAATAATTACCACCAATAAATATAACCTATCTCCAGATGCTTCATTCCAGACTATATAGAAAAAGCATATTAGCAGCAGCAATTTTCTCAATCTTCAAAACAATGAAAGGTAATTTAGATGTACGATATTAAGAAGTTTCAATCCATTTGTGGTCGAAAGTTAAATCTTGCTAACGTAAATTCTGTGGTCAAACTCTGTAGTTTATGTTTTATTTCTCCTGCATGTTCAATGGTAGTTTGTGTTTTAAAAAAAGGTCTGGAGTATTTTTCAAAGCATGTTGTCGGACATAAAAGAATACCACATGGCATCATCCTGAGATGTTATACAGACATCAGATTTTATTGAAGTCTATCTGAACACACACACCATTCATTTTCACTCAGTTTGACTCTCTAACTTATATTTTTTGATAAACAACAATGACTTAACCTATATTTTTATGTTCCATTTTTTTTTCAAACTTTTACTGTTTGAAGTATTTGTTTTCAGAACAAATAAAGGCTTTTCTTTTTCAATTTTGAAAAACTGAGCAATTTACTTTATTAATTGAAGAAGTTAATAAATAAATCTTTAAGCCTCGTAGAAAGGGCACAAGAGTATGTTGCTTTTCTTCCTTAGTAGTTCTCTGTAATTCACAAACTCACCTGCAAGATAGATGAATTCCGTTGACTTGCCCTGGTCGAATAGAGGAAGCCATTCGATGAGCCAATGAGGGAGATTCCGCTGGACTTCTACATAATAGAAGGATGTTAAATCAATTACTATATAATTAGTCCTTTGCAAATTATACAAAATTTGAGTACTTTTTTTTTGTCATTTAAAGGAAGCAAAAAAAAATATTAACTGAATAATAAGTATTAGAATTTATTAAGGTCACATTGAGAATTCATAATACCACATTGGCATTTAATCAACTGGGAACTTGTTATGTAAACAGGCATAAGGATTTAGCAGGATGAGATAAATTTAAATCTAAATATTTATCCTAATAAAAACAACAACAAATTTTGTAATCTTTTGTTATTAGTTACTGAGCTTTCACAAACTTTGAAAATGCAGGTTTTATATAAAACACCTAAATCAAGGATGTAGAAAGATAGCCTTGCTAGCTGTGACACAATTTATAACAAGCTTGTACAACTTCAGATACATACCAATTGAACACATGGCTGGATAACTAGTATTACTTCTGTTGATACACCTGAACACCACATTATGCATGCATTCTGCTGGCCACAACTTACAAATGTTAGGGTGTGGCCTAGAGGCATTGGTTACATAATTAGCGACACCTGTTGTTTACGTGGCTTTGGCTAAACAATAGTTGTGATTTTCAAAGGAACCAAATGATATTTAGTGATCTAGCAAATTTCACGATCTGTTAATCAAGTTCTTTTTTTTTTAATCTTAATTTTGAGACAAGTCTGTGTTACTGTATCATTTCACATTACTGTTCTTTTACTTCACCGGTCGTGATTCTTAGTTTCATGAAACTAATCTTTGTGTACATGCAAGTCTCGATGTTATTTTCACCTTGGTAATAATTGTTTTGGTGTGTGACTCTAAAGAAGGCAGCAAAGCGTCATTTAAACTTTATGAATTGTACTTTCAAGTGTTTATAAAAAAAAACGCTTCCATAATTCTTTATCTCTAGAATTATATTAGAAACTTTTACATTATATCCACACCAAATATTTCCAATTACTGATTGTTGCATCTAATAGATTCTCCTACAAGCTAATTTACTGTTAATAAAATTATATGTTTAATGTCTTCTTTGTTTTAAAATTAATCATTGTGAGAAAAGGGGACAAAATTATCGTACCACAAATCAAAAGACCACATTACACATCTTTGTTATCTTATTAACACAGAAAACCTTATAAGTGATTCATTTCCTACCTTATCAACACGGAAAAACCTTACAAGTGATTCATTTCCTACCTTATTAACACAGAAAAACCTTACAAGTGATTCATTTCCTACCTTATTAACACAGAAAAACCTTACAAGTGATTCATTTCCTACCTTATTAACACAGAAAACCTTACAAGTGATTCATTTCATACTTTATTAACATAGTCTAGTTCACTTTTCCAAAAAAAACTGCTATTTTGTGGCAAACAATTGATTTTGGTCAGTTTGAGGTTGCTTAATTCAAAAATTTGGTTTGCCTGCCTGGCAAATAGCTCCTTCACTCTCAAAATTGGAAAACAAAATGGTCACCATTTACCCATGAGGTTTGGTCATATATCTTTTAATACATAGAATTAAATTCTCTTTTAGACTCCAGTTTGGGTCAATTTGTAAATTCCAAGTACAAAAATGGTGATTACAAACCTAAATTTTGTCTCTTTCTTCCAAAAAACTAATAAAATAACCCAAAATGGCATCCAAAAGGCTGCATTTATTTAGGCATATGGGCTGCCACTTCCATGTCTGAATAGCTGCATTAAATAGTATCTGGTATGTCTTAACTGAAACAACTAAAATCAATGCTCAATAGTAGATGATACCACTATCACAGAGAGACTTTATATTGCAGACAAAGTTTTTGGAAATTGGAGGGAAAAGATAAAGATTAATACTTCCTGTATTTTTACTGATGTAGCCTAACTGCTGAAGCCTGTTTAACTACAATATCTGAAACAGTAATATAAATTTTCACCAATTTTTTAAAGCTTTTTTTTTTTCCCACCTACTTCTGCCAACATTCAAGTCAACTGTTTCAGCTCAGTAAAGAGTCAAATATTTGTTGTCATGGTAACATTAATACTTTTTCTTAGCTGTGACTCATAGAATGGCTCAATCTTTTTTTTTTCAAGTTTTTTCTAACTTTTCGTTCATAGCTCCGTCATCTCTTGACCAACTTGAGATCTAATTACAACTTTGGACTCAGGAGGTCAAACCCTTTCATTTGATGTATTTGACCACACCCAAGGGTCTCATAGATTAATTTATTCTAATCCTGCCTTAAAGATTTTCAATTTGAGGGTAGGCTGGTAGAGAGCCTGCCGAGTGATAAAATCAAATCGGGTATAAACACACCCCACGCTTGGTATTAGTGGCACACAAAAATAAAGCAAATAAAAATGCAAAAACGGGTCTCATACAGTAATTTACTCTAATCCTGCCTAAAAGAATTTCAAGTGGAGGATTTCCTCTTGTTTAGTTCAAAGAACCACTTAGGTTTGTTACAAAGACAGAAAACATTGTGATTATATGCTTGAGACACAAATTTCTTGGTGTACAAGGTAATGGTCACCGACTTTTGGGGGTTTTTTGGGCAGTCATTTTGTTTTTCAATTTTGAAAGTGAAGGAGCCTTTTGCCAGGTGTGTAAGCAAAATATCTGTATTTAACAAATTGACCAAAATCAACTATTTGCCAAACATTACTTCAAAATGCTTGATGTCGACCACTTTTCTGAAAATGGAACCAGATTAACATATTAAATCTTGCAAATGACTCACTTCATACTTTATTATAGGAAGCCCTGCAAATGACTCAATTCATGCCTTATTATAAGAAACCCTACAAATGATTAATTTCATACCTTATTAGAGGAAACCCTACAATCACATTTCCACAATAGATTCATTCTGGAAAATCTCAAAGAAATTATATTATAAAGAACAGAGGATATGTTTTGTATTCTAGCTCTCTGTTATACATATGTAAATGACCACATGATGAGTTGTAGCCTGGTCCTTGACCACATGATGAGTTGTGGACTGGCCCTTGACCACAAGATGAGTTGTGGACTGGTCCTTGACCACACGATGAGTTGTGGACTGGTCCTTGACCACACAATGAGTTGTGGACTGGTCCTTGACCACAAGATGAGTTGTGGACTGGTCCTTGACCACAAGATGAGTTGTGGACTGGTCCTTGACCACACAATGAGTTGTGGACTGGTCCTTGACCACACGATGAGTTGTGGACTAGTCCTGGTTCTTTTTTGATACAGAAACTACAATCTTTCAACACTTTGTTGAACACTGATAAGTACAGTTATGCCTTACCTAACTTCAATGAATGATCAGTGCATGGCCAAATTTTCCTCTGGTAGATTTACTAATAGACTGTAAACAAGAAGTTTGGCTACAGGAAAAAAAAAAAGGCTTGATCTATTTATGGGTCAATAAACTTCTTGAAAAGAATCTCAACCAAAACCTGTACTTCCTGAACAGCTGTGGATCTTATTCTGCTTGTCATATGCATCAAATGGTCAATACGTAAACATGCAAGAACAACTTCCACAACGTACAATGAATGAACTCCACTAGAAACCAAAACAAAACAAACGTCCTCAACAGTGACAAAGATATGGTACTTATACTCAGTCTTGTTATGAACTTACAGGTTTGTGAGGAATTACAAAATAATCATTAGTTGAAACTGATCTATTCATAAAATCAACAAAAGGTTTGGTTAATGTTAGGTGATTAACCCGACCACCTACGAACAATGACTGGTGGCTTGTAAAATAATAGATTAATGTCACAAAATTAACCAACTAATCAAAATTACTGTTCCTGATAATTACCATTTTTAATTATTACAACTAGTCGTCCAGCTCTAGAGGTGGTACTTGAACTTAAGTCATGTTAAGGAGTTTGTAAGGTCATGAAGAATTAGAGAATGACCATTAACGGAAGCTGATCTATTTACAAATGCACAAGAACTTTCTGAAACAACATAATTTTTGTTTTCGTTAGCATCTATATTTATGGATTTTAGGATTATATCACTTTGTAATCCAGTATCTAAAAGTAATAAACCATTTTGAGTAAACGTTTTTCTATAAGCCTGTTAAAAAGTACACACAGAGGTAATGGTTCCTGTAACAAGATTGCCTTTGTCCTTATATATAGAAATTTCTCCATAGTAAATTATTAAAAAAAATATAAGTGTGTTATCAAAATTCAGTGTGGAAAAAAATATAATTAATTTAAACTGATAAAACTAAAGGTTTGTTTTTTTAAAACTGTTTGATACATGACACTTCACTATATGAGAAAAATTTGTAAAAGGGATAAAATTATAAATTTTGGCAGGGTAGCAGTCATCTTCAGCTTAGACAGTTGTACTTTTTAAAAAAGGGGGGGTTGGCCTTTGGAATGGGTTGTTTTCAGATGTGGTGAACATAGTAAATTTAAGGGAAGACTCAATACATCTTAAAATGTAGAGGGCTGGATGCGAGTTTATTTCGAACAGCAGTGATGTTGTCGTTAAATGTTACATTAAAAGAAGTTTAATTTTAAACTACTGCTGTAAAATAGCTCCTTAGACCACCCTAGTAACTCTACTCAAAATGTTCCAATAAGTCATTTCTTATATAAGAAGGTCAAAATTGTACAGTTTTCCAACTGACCTAAGTTGATTTATATTGAGATGCTCATCTCTTTTGATTTGTAATCAACGTGTCTGTAAATACACCCTAAAATTCTACCAGCTTTACTACTAGCAACAGAGCATTGTGTCGATAATTTGAGTTAGTTTTGTTTACAGGAGTAGATATGTTAACACAGAAATAGCCTAAATAAGTAACAACAATGATACAGGCATAATAAGTAAACTTGGTTATTTCTAGCCGTATTGAGAATGTTACGATAATATTCCGTAAGTTCGATAGAAAGCAGGTAGTAAATGACCTATAATTATAGTAAGTGCAAGGTAATATCGTAATCTAGACCATAACTTTAACGTGAATTGAAACCCGCTAAGAACTGTGACCGAAGAAAAGAATCTTAGGAAAATAGAAGATAAGCCACCAAAAGATGTAATTAGCTCTTTATACAAATCACTAGTCAGGCCTCATTTGTAATCTTGAGTCTACTTTGGTCTCCATAAAAGGACAACAACTTGTTGGAAAGGGTTAAGAAGAGGAGGACAACTATGATGATGGAAGCGTTATCTTACGGAGAGAGGTTAAAAACTTAACCTATTTTATCTTGAGAAAACAAAGGTAAGAAGTAATCCAATTGAAGTTTACAAGTTTATCTAGGGGAGTGATAGGATAAACACCTCGAAGTTTTTGTGCCACATTCTGAGGACACAAGTTTAAGTTTTGGAAAAGAAAATGGTTTTACTTTTCTAACACGATGAATGACATGATGCGATTAGCAAGAGTATAGCTTGGAACCTCAGGAAATACAAAGGATGGGTTTAATTTTAACCTCTTTTTTCTTGTCGATGGGAGCGACTTAAAGGATCAAATGGTTTCTAGCTGTCCATAGTTTCAATTATGACAGACATCAAAACTAAAAAAGAGAATTATCACAGTATGTTGAAGTACATCCAAGGACAACTCTTGGTCTGACTAATTAAAAATTTTTATGCAAAGTACATATGGTCCACTATGAAGTACTTAATCACGATCGAAGTTAAATTTAAATTGATTAACATCAAGATAATGAACTAATTGAAATTAGGGTTTTAATTATTACTTTTCCAATTATTCCAGCTATCCAAGTAAATAAATATTGTTAAGTTTGTTGTTAAATGCATAGCTACATAATGGTTCATCTGTACTCTGTCCAACTTTGGCCTTATACATTGTGTTTTTTTTTTTACTTCATGTTTGTTTAGCTTTGGCTGTTCGAGAGGGAGAGGGACAGCTTAGGATTTAAGGATCTCTGGCTCGATTTCCATTGCCGCCAAACGTGCTTATCCTTTGTTATGGCAAAGCTGTTAATGTGATCCGCCACTGTCACTAATTTTGATCTGCTGACTAGATGGAAGACAAATGTCTGGCAGCACCCACCACCAACTTGTTTTTTGCTTGTACATACTATGGTTTGAGGAACATAATACTACTCGATTGATCAAAAATAGTCAATTAATGGGGGCCATAAATTAATTGATTAGTGAATACCATTAACTGTTAAACTCTAGTGTTGTATTATCCAAAAGAGTTTTGTGATCAATTTTCAAACTTAAGTGTTTTCTTTCTGGTTCTTTTTCCTAACTTCTTGTGTCTAGGTTACATTACTGATGATGTGTTACAGTTATATTGTTGAATTAGAAGTTCAAAAGTTGTGTCAAGATTATACGATTCAGATATAAGTTCTGTAACGTAGTGTTGTATTATCCAAAAGAGTTTTGTGATCAATTTTCGAACTTAAGTGTTTTCTTTCTGGTTCTTTTTCCTAACTTCTTGTGTCTAGGTTACATTACTGATGATGTGTTACAGTTATATTGTTGAATTAGAAGTTCAAAAGTAGTGTCAAGATTATACAATTCAGATATAAGTTCTGTAACGTTTACGTGTTCAGAACTTTTGAAGTGTGAGTACATTTTATTTTATTTTTGAAACTCCAAATTCTGTTTTTAAGAACCACAGAATTAATGTTTTGATTACTCTCATATAGATTAAATATTTTTATTACAGCTCGTCAAGAAACCACCTATAACTGTACCGAGAGACAAATAAAACTCAAACGTTAAGAAATATGTTATTGATATTGAGATGAATCAAAAATGAAAGATTAAAAAGATGATGGTGGACGGCAAATGGACCAATCTAAAGATGCAACAATTCAACATCAGAACACCCACCAATTTCTACTCTGCCTTTAAATATATTCAAAAGCATTATTCAGTATAGCCGTTTCTTAAACAAACAACTTGTAAGTCACTCATTTAACTCGTGATTGGTTAATAGGAGCACACTCTTAATTCAAGCAAGAACTACTGACAGAATAGGCTCAACATTTTGAAAGACTGAACTTACCATTATCATTCACACACATATGACTAGCTGAGAGTAAAAAGAAAGTTAAAATATGAAGCATTTGTTTTGACATCACTTCCGTTTGGGAAGGATTTCTCATGCTGTACAATAATTAGGATGCTAAGTCAGCTCATTTTAATAACAAATACTACAAAACTACATATAATTTGATGCTCAGACTAATTTATAAATTGCTGATGGGTTGCTATGATGTAGGTATTTTTTGTACTGTTTACTTCACTCATTCTTGCTGCACTTTTCCAAAGTAAAAAACAACAACACAAATCTTCTTAAATTTATAACTAAAGCCAATTTATTCCATTCTTTTAAAACCGATCAGATACATTCTAGGCACTAAAATTAGGACTTATCAACCAAAATAGGCATTAAATGAGAAAAATGAATAATGTGTTGAATCCATGGGGATGAACCTCAATCAAAACTAAGTCATTTACTCATTATCTACATCACTTGCGAGTTGTATAAAAAAAACAAAAAAAAACTATTAGCATCTAGATGAAAAATTACAAGATCACAGTTCTATAACATAACTTACCGTTCGTTTGTCGTGCCAGACATGATTTGATTATCTGCAAACTGAAACTTGAAAGTTAAATGCTTGGGATGAACCTGAGACTACTCTGACTAAACCTTCTTTACATCATTTCAATTATTTCATACATGCATAGAAAGATTCTTCAACTTAACTCACTTAAGAGGTTTATGCTGTTGTTTTTTACCCTAAGGACTTTATAAAGTTTTACGATAAGAGAATAAGGTATAGTGAAATCAATCTCAGCCTATTAATGACAGTAACTTAGCGCTGCTTATCAACAATAACATTGAGGGCAAAGATTCTGTTATTAGTCTTAGGCCTAACAAATATTGTACTTACGTCTACTGTTGAACATGGGTATTAAGCCTTATGCATTTAACTTTTAAGTACCATCGTACTAAGCTCTTAGATTACAAACATCTGGAAGAACTTAACGTTTTATTAATCGAATAATGATATTAATAACACGGCTCCTAATCTAATAATTGTAATATGGTGTATAATTAGGGTTCCTCCATCATTCTTTTTTATGAATTCCTGTTAATGATAATAGGATCAAGGTTATAATTCGAAATTATTATTCGTTCGACGTTTAATATGTACTAACTTCTACCCTAGTTTACATAACTCACTACACCATTCGTTTTCGATGTTAAGACCGAGTACAAATAATCCCATGATTGCTGCTAAACCTGAAAGTAATTAAACTTGACAAAAAGTTAAATTCCTATAAAAGTGAATAATGATAAATGACTCTGCGTGTCTGTTAATATTTATATTAATTTAAAAGTTTAATTTTATCAACTTGTGATTCTTTAAAAATCCATTATTAAAAGAATCATAAACAGTGCTACCAACTCTAATCATAAATCTGAAGAATTTAAGAAGTCTATTTGGATAAAAACAATTTGAATTATCCCTTCAAAAGTGATTGAGATTTTGCTTTAAAAACTTTAAACGAACAAGCATGTAATGATTTCTAAACTTTTTCTCATAAAACTCACCCTGCCTTCAATTAGCTTTCCGAAATTAATTTTAAATCTTTATTTCACTATTGCTGTCACCTATAGACACTTTCACATCTATATATTACATTACTGCTGCCATCTATGCACTATTAATGAAACCATTTATCACTACGAATTAATAGAAACGTACCCTAATTATTACGCTATTTAAAACTAGCTTCCCTGTTAACAAAATCTGTGCAGATTTCAAAAATAAAAGTAAAATGGTTATTTGATCTCTGAAATGACGAAACACTATTAAACGAACCAGTCTGCTTCTTCTTTGTCCTATATATTATTCACGTATTTATATATAAAGTTAATTAGCATCTTGTTCTGTTAGTTACTTGGTGTTCCTAATTTATGTTTTAAAAAATGAATTATTTAAGGAACTACTTCAAATGAAAAGTAACCTTGACCCCTCCAAAATGGTTATTTATTATTGTCATACTTAGAACAATAACTATTTCAGAGTAAAGTAGGTCTAATTACGCCATGTCAACAGTTGGACACACACTGTGAATCAATTAGAACATGTTTGTGATTTATGCCAAAAAACAAACACTTATAAGTAATTAACATATACATGTTTTACACATTTGCCATTGTCATTGTTATAAGCTTCTGTGAAACATGCCGAGTTCAATTTTTGACCATATATCATCACAAACCCTTCACTGTATGTAGATGTCAGCTTTCAAGACCATGTTTAAGTAGACCAAAAACACAAACGTTTACTGGGGCTTCATGAGGGGTCCTTACAGGTATGTGGTTAAAAGAAATTTTTGTTTTTCCAGGTCCTTCAGCCATCTTTCTTGTCAACTTCAAATATTCATTTATTGAATAGTTAATAGTACAATATATGTCAAGTTTCATGGCAATATTTTTTTAGGTTGGAAGGTTCTATTTCGTAACTATAGCCTTCGTTTTAAGTATGGGGTTATTTTAGTTTCGAAGCCCTAAACGATCTGCTGTACGAGGATTTTCGTGTAACAATACATACATTGTATGGAAGGCATTGAATATTTTTTTTTTCTTCCATACGATGTGGCCTTCGGTTGCTATAAGAACACTCGTTCACAGAAACGCTTTTTAAATCTTTCCATTTACAAATCTCTCCTTGACGGCATTTCGTCATCAAATGTTCGGGAATTCACACTAAATTAAATGTATAGGTGATAAATTTGTTCCCCGTAGCGTCATGATTCACATCTGCAGCACACCACTGCACTTGTATAAACAAAACACTTTCATAAAATGCGGTTTACTATTCGTAAATTGTATTTCCCAAAGTAAGGTTTAGATCCAAAATTCTTATCCTATAAGAATAAAAATGTAAGATAATTAATACATTAATATATTTTGAGAGTAATTATCAAATGCCGTGACATCCAGTGTTATAGATAACGAATGTTTATATCTTATTTGATAAATAGGAGTAACTCGAAACAGCCTGGACAAGCTTACTGTTTAGTTGTTCTTTTTTGCAGTTATTTATTGCCTAAGATTTTTTAATGGTCTATAAATTTCAGAACGACCACCAGGAGGAATTAAATGCAACCAAACCAGTGCAGAGAAGGTGATGTGGCAATAAAGTTTTTAAAAATTCAATAAAAAAAACGACCTTTATTCTCCAGATGATAATGAAAAACATTTTATTTCAGTTAACGTTTCGCCAAAATGTCTAAATTCCTTAAATATTCACTACAAATTTTGAAAAAGAAGACGGTGTTTTATATCTATTTCGAACGAAATTTAGATGTACAACAAAAGAGATTAGGTTACTTTCTATTACAATATCACAAATTACTTTAATAATCGTATAGAAATGAAGTAAAGAATTAAAACATTTAAACTATAAAAAAATAAACAACAAAAAAGGGTTCAATACAAGTTTAACCACACAACGCATGTAACGAATACCAAAATAGCGAAAATTTTGGGATTTTCTTCATTATACATATATAAATATAATAATACTGTCTGTTGTATGTCCACGTGACTACTTAGCAGGGGTGGATGTATCTTCACCAAAATTTGTATGGAGTTTCATTTGGTCCATACGAATTTTCAGTTTTGCATTTTGCTTTTTTCGGTTTTTATGCGCGTTTTTTTACCACTACTTCGCCCCCCTGTTGATGGATCTTCACCAAATCTGGTATGGCGGTTTGTTGGATCCATGTAGAGTTGCGGTTTCACATTTTGTGTTTTGCAGTTTTTATGGGCGTTTGTTGTAATTACATATACGGGAAGCAACTTTTCAAGATAACCTTTCTTTAATCATGTATTTACATAACTTCCGTCCAGGAGACGGATACTCCAGCTAATACTAGAATGTGTCAAAATTCGACAAAATATACAGAGTTGGGGAATTTCAAACCACAGTGTAAAACTAAAGACTCGTGTTGGAAAAGTTTTTAACTAAACTTCCCTGTAAATAACATTTTCAGCCAATCAAACGACCGTACCTTGGACAGAACTGACCATGACAAAACAAAACAAAAAAAAAGGCTTAGTTATTGACTATATTATGTGTTACTGTAAGTGAAGACTAATCAATATATTAGTATCTACACTTATAGGAGAAGGTTAGTCATGTGCTAGAGCTCTTTGTAACCGATCTGGATTCGAAATTATGCGATAACTCAAACATAGACCGATATTTTAGCTGTGGGTGATAGGCGGTAGAACGCTGCTGAATAGCTGTCTTCCCTCTAGTCAGTAGTTCAAAATTAGGGATAGCAACAGATAGTCTTAATAGCTTTGTCACGAATAGAAATCACCACGGTTATAAGTTAATCTAGTTCTAGGTTAGTTACTGTTAGTTAGTTAAAGCGCCTACCCGTAGAGTTAAATTTAAAATGATTAAGATCAAAAGATGATTAATTGATCAGTAAGACGATACTAAACCTAACTTCAGCGTTGAGTTAACTACTTACTGACAGGGTAACCTTGTTGCTAATGGTGTTTTAAGCCTAATCTTAACAATGTATCACTTTAAAACAAGGTCAAACCATGATTTAAGCATTTCAAAGACGTAATGACCCACAAAGTTTTTTTCATTCTATATTTTTTGTTTAAAACTTATCTATTATCTGCACTGACCTCTGAAGAAACATGTTGAATACAAATTTTGTGGGGAAATATATATTTAACTCTGTGTGCATATTATAACAACACAAAATATATAATTATTGCCGCTTTATGCAATTTTCCCATATATTTACACACACTTTCAGAGGGCGTAGCGTTCAAAATAATCAGTTGTAGAAATATATGGATTAGGCGTAGTCAATTCAACGTAATATTCATAACTATGTTTTGAATTAAAATAGGTTTTATAAAGTTCGGTGCCAACTGAGAACAGTATTTTTTTAATTTAGTACGTACAGCATTTACCTTGTCTCTAAGCGTGTAACATTTCTCTAAAAGCGAATATTCATACATATAAGGTGGGTTTGTTTGGGTTCTTGTTATGCGTAAAACTATACAATAGGCTATCTGTGCTGTGAACATCACGGGCATCAAAACCCAGTTCTTAGTGTTATAAGCTTTCAGATGTATCGCTGAGCTACTTGGGTGCTATAAAGCAGGAGTGTCGTCTATGTCCGCTCTCAACAAACCTACCATGGAACCTTAGCCCCCACCCCCACCCGAGTAGTATCATAGAGGGTCAGTTTTTGGATCTAACCCTCATGTCACTTTACGTAGACTCCATTTGTGTTTGTGTGTTCGCATTTCTGACCAATCTCAAACAAACTAGACATCCAGGGGTAGTGACACGGGGGTGGGGGGGTATTCAGACCTGACTTCCTCTGGGGGCCCCTATATGCAAGTTTGATTATTTCTACCAAACTTTTAAGGCACCTTTAAGACACTCCGTGGCACTAGTGACATAAAAAGATGGCATTCAGATCTGACTCTCTAGTGTTCATAATTTTTCCTCTGCGTTGGACGGGCACGTGACTCAGTAATTTATTAAAGCAAGTGACTTAGTAATTTATTAAATTTGCATGCATATTTCCTTTCTTGATTGCTAAACTATTTCACGTGTTCGCTAAAAGTCACGGCCGAAACGTCGAAATCCGGCGAAGCATTATAAACCAGCAGTGACTTGTAAAGTATTGTTACGTCTCCGTTTGTTAATTAACTCTTCGTAAATTCGTTCCGACGAAACTTTAACAACACAAGTCTTTACTTAATAAAACTGGTTTAATCTTTCCGAATATAACTTTACCGATACACTCAACTTCAACAATCGCGCTAAACAAACGCTGTAACAACGAACGTCTACAATACTTGTGACTGCAGTTCAATTACTCACTATCTACACACACATTACCGCGTCACGTTGTCCCCCTCTTATATATACCCGACTACCCTATATCTAGTAAATACTAGAGCATTCGCCAAAGTACAGGATAGTTCTAGAAACTAGAGGGCGCCACACCAGTCACGTGACCTCGATGACGCAACAGTATGTAAACTTGAGAGAGACAAAAAATACATTGGAATGCTAGATTTACACCTCCCTAAATTTGAATCCAAAATGGACAAATTAAGGAAGATGTAGCTTCCGTGATTTTATCACAGATTTTGGACCTGTTGTATCTAAACCACGTGATTTA